ATTATTTCGGGACTAATAGTTAAGTTTGCTAAAAAACGAAGTGAATTAGCTTCAAGATCAAATCCCTTTGGGGTGCTGACGAGACCTAGGCGAGGTCAAAATCTTAGTCCAGCCTGTATGCAATATCCCTTCGGGAGACAAGGCCAAGTGGAATTCGATGGTACCTCGAGACCCGTTTATCCAATTATAGAAAAATTCACATTTGGGGATCTGTATAAGCACGTAGCGGGATGCTTACCAATGGCGGCTACTTAAGGTTATGTTATTCAACGAAATATGATTTTTTAAAAATTATTTTTAAAGTAGGTTTCTGACATTTAATTAATTTTTTAAGTATTCATTCAATATGATTAAACAAAATGGATATTTATCATTCATTTGCAATGGATGGCCTTTAGCGTCAAAATAGGCGCTGGTTACACCAGCCTAGTCTAAGTTATAAATGTATCATCTGATTTATATTCCAGTAACTATGCAAGAGTGTATAGCTCACGCTAATGTTGCACCTCTGTCGACTTTGGAGTAAGGGCACCTTGTAGCTCAGGTGATGGTAAACTTTAGTAGTGAAACTACCTGTTCATGATGAGCACAGTCATCGCCTAGGCAACTATACTCAGTTTACTGACTACCTTCTATACGAGTTATACTATGGCTGGGAAATGTTGATCATGGAATATATCCTTTATAAGTCTTGAAACTAATGCATCTAAGCTTCCTTGATGTTATTTTTGGTTTATATGTAGGTTTTCGAGACTACCAGTAAAACATATATTTGCTATGTGTTTAATCTGTTTCGTTTAAGGTGATGAAGGACTGGTAGTTAGATTGTGTCACAACTATGGGAATAGATCTTATTTTTACACTCAATTTCGCATAACCTTGCTTCCCGAAAGGTATTCTCACCCAGACTGGCGTAGACTGCAATTTAACCTCGTCTAGGCATCATCAGCACTTCCAATGGGACTCAAACCAGGGTGGTGCAGCGTACAGTTTCGACACGTAAACGATTACTGTACACTGCCCCGAGGTCACAAGGTAGATGGGAATTTCAGAGAAGGGCAGGCCTATTCCCACATCGTATTCTGTGGGGGATTGTTGATGAAATAAAGCTGTATTTGCTATAGCAATTGACTACATTGCACTAAGTAATGTAGTCAATGCGATACGAGAAAATGTCTGGCCCTCCTTGAAATCCACATCTGCCCTGTGACACAGGAGTATTCGTAGTAGTGTGGCGTATTGGTTAACCTGTCGAAATTATTCTCTAATGCTCGATTTCGAGCCTCGCTGGAAGCGTTGATGAGGCATAGGAGGGGTGGAAACTGCAGTCTATTTCAGCCTGGATGAGAATTCTTGTTCGAAAGAAAGGCCACGTGAAATTGAATGAAAAAGTAAGATGTATACTCAAATCTTTGTATTAGTGTAGAGTTTAGAGACTACCAGTAAATCAGTAATATGAGATGTATTCACCCTATTTCGTCTAAGATGATAAGGGACTGGTAG